CAGAATTCTTTTGTGTTCTCACAATTTCAAATACTTGGAATTTTTATGGAATCCACCTTTCATCCACATTTAATAGGCCTTTACTTCCTTCAATGGATTTTTTACTTAGTGTCCAAGTTTCTTACACATACAGGAGAATGAATAGAATGTAGTTTCTTATGAGTTCTTGTTACAAGTTTGAGTTTTCTTGTTGTTAACACATACGTCATCTTAAAATTAATTTTGGCTATTTCTGGCTATAACTTCTGCATCACATCTGCCATTATCTGCTATCATTTGACCTAAACAGACAAACTTATCTACTTGATCCAATGTGACACTGTCCACTTCAATCTTCATTGTAGTTTGTTCTAATTTCTTCCTTCTAACTACCATTGCTTCTGTATTTTTGGTGTTTGTTCTCAATCACCATTCTAAACTTCAAGGTTTTTCTTGATCTACAGTATTTTGTATGGCCGCTTTTGATTTTGCAAAGAGTGATACTGGTGAACTAAAGGTTTTTTTTCTTGCTTCCAGGTTTTACCCGTGGAAGTACATCTGATTCTCTGAATATTAGCTCTGTGCACAGATTGAATAATGTTGGCAACAGCACGTGACCATGTCTGACTTTTCACTTGAAATGTGCCTGATTATCCCCTTCCAATGTGATGCTTGCTATTTGATCCCGGTATTGGTTCTGGATAGCACTCCCATCTTTATTGTCAATGTCACAGTTCAGTAACATTGAACATATAGTGATTAACAGCATCAAACACTTTTTCAGTCTACAAAGCTTATATAAATGTTCTTGTCTACTTCTAGAAATTTATGAAAGATTCTCCTTGAGTTAAGTATCCTCTTTCTTGTTTCTACTCCAGATCTAAATATGATGTGGAGGTGCCGGTGTTGGACTGGGGTGGACACAGCACCAGGCTATAATCCAACAGGTTTATTTGAAATCACAAGCTTTGGAGCTCCAAAATCTTGTAATTTCAAATAAGTCTGTTGGACTATAACCTGGTGTCATGTGATGTCTGATCAGATCTAAATATGCACCCTAAATTCCAGATTCACCTTGCCACTTTTCTTTAACTCTCCAGTGACCTCTTGAAAGAAATGGGGAATAGCAGCAGGAGGAAGCCATTCAGCTCCTTGAGCCTGCTCCACTATTCAATTAGATCCTGGGTAATCTTGTGTCTCCACACACTTTTTCTGCGTTATCTGCACATCCCTTGACATTTTTAATATTTAAAAGTTCATCAACCTCTGTCTTGAACATAGTGGTTGACCTTCCATAGCCCTCTGGGTTACAGAATTACAAAGATTCATCAGCTCTTGAGTGAAGAAATTCCTCCTCATCTTGTCTGGGGAATTCAGAAATGTTCCCAATCCCAGGCTTACAATTCTTTTTTGGCAACTCTGAGCCTCTTCCTTTGATCTATACAATCTTCAACTTCTCTTGTTAACCATGGTTGGAACAATGAGTGTATATTTATTGTATTATTCTTTAATTACTAAACGTTGCCTGTCTGCTGTTGAACACATTTCAATATAGTGAACACATTTCAATATAATTTCTCAACCTTCCACAACCAACTTGTCCTTTTGTAATTTGTGGTTTTCTTTGGATTTAAGACCCTGGATCCATCACTGTCAAACCTAGTGTAAAGGGCAGAGGGTTTAAATTTGTGCACCATTCCAAACCTCTTCAGCCTTCCTCCCTCTCAGCTGTCACCAAGAGAGCCAGTATAGACAGAGGGTTGGAATATCATGGATGACTTGCTGGGAGCACACAAATTGTCTGTGAAGAACAGTTGCTCTGAAAGGTGTGAGTTATAGGTTAGACTGCTATTCAGAAGCTTTGCTTGATTAGGCTCCGAGATATTTCTGATATCTTTAAATCCGATATTATTAGCTCCTTAACCTGTATCTGTATCTCTTCCTTTTGTCTTTTCCCCCACCCTTTCTCTTTTATCTTTTCCTTTCTGTCTCCCCCTCCTCCTCTCGATGGAGTCCATGATAAAGCAGATTGTACAAGGCTTAGCAATGAATCTGCTTGCTGGTTCAGATGTCTTTTTCTCCCCTTTGGTTGCCATTGACTATTCTCATGATGGTGTCAGATGAGAGCTCACCTGATCTGATGCTCTTTATATACAGCTGTGAAACAGGATTTAAAGATGGTGATCTCTTCATGTCCTACAAGAGTATGTTCCAGGATGTGCGGGAAGCTGTCGACTGGGTCCACTACAAGGTAATTAGTCTGGTTTAAAAATGCACACCTGGATTTTATTTTGTATCTAGTGAGTATGATGTTGATTTGCGAGGCAGAAATCATGAACTCCAACCTGAATGAAATGTATAAATGACACTGATTTAAATAACATTATGCTGCCATCAAGTGGTAAAAACAGAGAACTGCAGCATTTAAAAACTTCTAGGAGTTGTAATGGACCTTGCCTCAGTAATCGTTTATACCCAAGTTGTTTTACTGCAGCCAGCTGCCTGATCTAATAATGAAGAGTTTTGAAAATCACAGTAAATCAATCTGCATGTTTGGTATGCTTTCTTCACACGTGAATGAGTGTCTTACCTGAGAGATAACGTTACGCGTAGTCTGACTCTATCATTTTTTTTTAGGGATCTTTGAAAGAGAAGACTTTGGAAAACTTAGCAACCTATGTTGTTAAAGAGGTAAGTTGATATGCATATCTGATTCTGTATCCATCTTTGGAGGTGCATCATTTGTGGGCTGCCTTGGACTGGGTGAGGTGTGGAAGTTGCTGCCAGGAAGCGGGTGGGGTGCGGAAGGGGGATCTGGTGCTGGGTACAGTTATGGCTGAAACCAAGTGATGTGAAAGGACTAGATGGTGGCATTTCTATCAGACAAAGCAAATAGTTTGACACAGTTTTGTTTCGGTTTATCTTTCAGCCTAAACTTGCACTGCTGCTGAGCCGAATGAATGAAGTTGGCAAAGTATTTTTGGTGACGAACAGTGATTACACTTACACCAATGTGAGTATCTATTATCAGCGACACAGCGTGTTTGGAGGTGGTCATTACCAAACAGTGCATGCGGTGTACTTTGTGCTAACATGTGGGCTGGATTTCAGACAAGCCCATCCACTACCGGTACCCCTCTCCTGGGTAAGGAAGGGCAGCCATTTAAAAACTGCTTAATTGCAGATCAACAAGTGGAGCTAAACGTCCAAGTGAGGCAGTACTTGAGCATGGATGATTCCTAGGCATCTTTCAGAATTAGATCGTCGAGACAGGATTATTGACCTCTTTAGATCTGTGCACATTCTTGAAAGGCTTTTCAAAATAAAAACCATTTTTTTCTATGTATACCCAGCACATTCTTTTCTAGTCAAGGTGTAGGCTGGCTCCTGCATGAATCCATCTTGCATCTTTGTTTTGCAGCTAGTACTAACAAAGCTGCTTGATGGATTCTAGAATCAGTGGTACTGAGCAGAGATACAAACCAAAGTCTTTTAACAAACTGAGATAACAAGGTGTAGAGCTGGATGAACACAGCAGGCCAAGCAGCATCAGAGGAGCAGGAAAGCTGATGTTTCTGGCCTAGACCCTTCTTCAGAATCTTCAGATTCTCCAGCATCTGCAGTTCCTGCTATCTCTTTTAACAAACTGATCATTTGTTTCCCTCCGTGTCTGTAGGCAACAAGCTTTATTCTTTGTGATGACATAACTGAGAAGAATGTGTCAATAATCTTGTCCCACAGTTCCATAGGCTGACATAAGATGTATAAAATCCCAACGAGACCAAGAAGATGAGCAGTTATCTGGCTAATTGCTGTTCAAGACAAAAGCAATTCATAGCAGTTTCATAATTAGCAGAAACTAATTCTATCTTATTATACCTACACACGCATTCATTATTAAGACAGACAGTTTGACACATTATGGGTGGGAAAGAATACAGACAGGGTGAAAAACATTCTGGAGACCAAATGTCCAAATCACAAGGGTGTGTTAAATTGTGTTTCAAGGTTCCTCTTGATTTTTTTTGATGCAGTCGTCATTTTTCACTTCAGTTGTTGATCCAATAGACCTGAGTCTTTTCATGTAAGAATATTTATTTTAAGCCTTGTCTTTCTATTTTTATTGCCCCATATGAAGGGAGAGATGGATGCTTTCATTTTGCAGTCTTTGGATGTTTTTGCTGCATTTGCATCTACAGCTTTGGTTGAGCTGTTGTCTGTTATAATCAGAGGGCTGCCATCGGGCAAAATTTCCTTGACACAAACTATTGGTGCCTTTTGGAGAGGGATTTTAAAGAGGAATCTGAATCTGCTATTCAGGTGTACAAATGGATCTTTCTTCAGAGCTCCTTTACCATGCATGTGGGAGAGGCCAGAGACTGCTCCGAATCTGGCCTTCACATGGTGACCCAGTTGCCCCCTTAACAGCTCAACTTGGAGGTCAGTGACATTCTACCTTTCCCAGTAAAGTACAGGGTATTTATACACAATACATTATAATGTTTGCATGCAACATTGACACCAGTGCTTCTCACTTCCCCTCTGACCTACACATCCAATCATGTGAATACGTGATCAATGATGGACAACTCGTGGTCCACCTTGGGTCCTCCCATCTTCTCGTAATGTTTGCCAGACCCCCCTAACATCTGTCCTTGGGCTGTTATGATTATTGACCACATTCCAACACCTATTGTTACATTCCTTCCTAGACATTTTCCAGCTGCATCATATATTTTCTTATTATTATTGACTTTGAATTTGGTCATGCAATTCATATTCCTTGCAGATTTTAGTACAGAAGACTAAAAAGAGGATGTTAATTTCTACCAATTGTTATATTTGTAATATCAGCTCTAATATAAAGTTACTAATACAGTTTCAGGAGCAGCTTCCATCTTATCCGACTTGAGAAGCAACAGTTGTTTATTCTCTCAGGTCATAGTGACCCTGTTTCAATATTGTTTCTGTTCCCCTGGTTATGTTATTTAACCTCATAAGAGTACTGAGATACATTTTGTTATAGCACTTTGTTGTTCTTATCTTCTTGGAGAAAATTTTTCAAGGGTGTCTCTGAAGGCAGTTAGCCTTGGATGCAGAAATTTAATTCCCCAATATCTAATTTAAACTGCTATTATTGTACAAATATGTGTCTACTCTAATATGTAATTATAATTTTAAAAGGTTCATATCAGGTAGGTCAAGCTTTCCCTTTCTATTTTATGTGAAAATCTGAAATTTCAAATCAGATAGTTTTCACCTGAGCTGCCTTATCTGTTTTATTCTAGTCCCATCTTACTAAGATTCGGAGGCATGTTGTCTGTCTGAGAAGACCATGACTTGAGCTAGATAAAATACTGCATCAGCTAAAACTTCCTTCAATTGTTTGTGTCACTTCAAAAGAAAACCCTTAATAGCCATTTTGTCATATTCAGCCATGGGCAACTACAATATTGCTACTCAGCCTCAAATTCTCTTCCTCATTGGTTTCAAAAGTGACATTGTCTGCCACAGCTAAAAATGTGCAACACTTGATTTCCAAATTGCAGAGCTTTCGTGATATTTCAGTTATAGCAGTCTAACTTCCATTTCAGTTTATAGTCCCAAAAAGGAAACAAATTGTCTATTACATCATTTGTACACCCTACCCTGAGATGCTAGACAATCTTTTGCCTCCAATAGAAAGCTTAGATAATTTGTTAACGTTTTAACAAATGCTTACTCTTTTAACAGCACCTCAACAAACATACATGGCTGTCAACCTCTGAGACAACTTGAGACATCCATCTACTAATATTTAAAAGAGACGGAGCCTGTTTCTCCATCCTCTTTCCTCCTGTCATTTAACAGTATATGTTTAACAGTTGGGAGCACATAAATGTGACCAGTCAAACTGGCTGACCTGAGTTCAGATCAGCTGCTGAGTGTGTAAATATTCCCCTTTATGATGTGTTGATGTTTTGCCTTCTTTCAAAATTGCTGATGATTCCAGTGACTCTTTATTTTCCAGAAAATCATGACGTACATGTTTGACTTTGCACATGGCCCCGAGGTAGGTGATGTTTGTGGAATTTCAGAAGTGAAATGGGAGTCTGTCAACAGAAGATAGCGAAGCAGGAATAATAAGTTGTTTTAAGAGTAACTGATTACTTGTTTATTGAGTGACACTGTACCTGAATGAATGAATGTAGAGAGGGAAGTGAAATTGGTAAAATGTGTCAGGGACACACTCTCAATCAGTATGTTTGTATAAGCAATAGTACGAAATAGATGCAAACCACATTAGAGGGAGAATTCTATAATTCAGAAGCCTGTGAATAATAAGAAAACTAGAAACAAAGTAAGTTTGAAGTAGAGTGTGTGTGGGATTGAACAGTATAATTTACTGAGAAAATAAGTAGAGGGATCAATAAGGAAATCAAAGAGTAAAAATGTGGAACAAGCCTTTTAGAAAAGGGGACAGTAAAATAGAATTTATTTTTAACCTTCTTGCAGCTTGATCTTTATTATTCCAACAGCATAGATGTGTAAAATCCATTTGTAAAAAATTATTGAAGGTCCAGCATGACTCCTGTCTTTTCTCTCTCTCTCAATCCCATGTCTGTGGTGGCCCTCTTGCCCCCTCGCTTCCTGTTTGTTAATCTCTTTCTCTTCTTGTATGCTGTTGTCAGTCTTTCAAGCTATTTGTCCTGATGTGACTCCTGCTTCCTGTTTCACTAAAGCCTATCTGCTTTTCACTTGTGTTTTTGTATGTGATCAGGATTTTGTCTGTTTCTTCCCTAATTCTTCAGGAGCGTAGTCTGTGGCCTGCAATCGTGTTCAGAACACTTTCTCATGTGTTTTATTTTGCTATAGCCTGGGACTGCTCACCGACCATGGCAGTCATACTTTGACTTGGTTGTAGTGGATGCTCGGAAACCACTTTTTTTCAGTGAGGGAACAGTTCTGCGACAAGTGGACACGGTGAGTTGGGGTAGACCTTGATATTAAAGCTTTACTCTTTATTTTGTTATTAAGAGTGTGGAGTATGAGGTGGAGTGAGTATACACAGTGCTGTGATGGCACGGGAGTCCTTGATTTGGTTTTGAAGCTTTACAGAGGTATAGGACACTGGAACAGATAACAAATTTCTGGATAGTTTTCTTTCTTTAGTTTGTATTTCTCACACATGTAATTTTGGCTTTATAAAAAGAGGCAGGGAGTATAAAGGGTAAGAAATTTACACTAAGCTTTTTGAAGGCAAATCATTAACCTGGTTTGGAAAGTGGCTGGAAACAGTATGGGGATCATGGGTGGGTAATTAATTTAGCTGGCATGACTACTGGTACCCCATAATGAATGTGCTGGATCCTCAAATATTCACTGTCTTTCTTAATGGCTTAAGTGATGGGATAGAAAAACATGTATTGAAAATTGCTGAAGACAAAGGCAACACTAAACAGTACAAGTTGAAACATAGAATTGCAAAATAAAAATTGATAGATGAAGAAAGGGCACATCTATAGCTAATGCATTCCTGTAGGCTAATGTGAGGTCATTGCCTTTTTGATCTCCAAAAGGGCTGAGCTGGGACTCTAAATGGTGAAAAGCTAGTTTAGTGTCAAAGAAACGTGGGGTAGGGAGGCTTGTAAAATGCATGAAAGGTGTAAAAAATAATCATTAAAGGATAATTGCATGGTGGCTTTGATATCTAAAGGATGAGAATGCATGAACTGTTAGAACTTATCTGGAAAAGTGTATTGAGTCTCAAGCTCCACTGCTCCCGGTGTCACTGCAAACAGTAATGATTTAGTCAAGTCCCTGATTTACCTGCCTCATGGAATCAAGTAACAGAAAAGACCGACCAGGTTTCTGTTCTTGCATTTCACTTCATTATAAATAAATAAATTCTAATCACAAGTAACTTTGAACTATCAACAAATGGCTCAACTAGTGATAATTGTACCGCCATTTTAAAACTGCTACGTATACATTCTGTCAGACACATTGTAAATTTAATTTTGTGGGGAGGGGGGTGGTAGAAGAAACTGGATAATTTGGCTCAATAGCGTCAGTCGCAAGGGTTTGTTAAAATGTGTTCCTTTTGGCTTGCCAGAACTTACTGTTCTTCAGTCTCCCTTCTCTGGGTCCTTGTGAGAGATGCAGGACAATTGGTGTATTAACTACAAAGTCTTTTAGATATTGGTTGAAGGTAATAACCTCAGCATCTAGTGGGAGAAAATAACTGGCTGTCTTTACATTTGGGTAATTCTTCTATACAGAGAGACAGAAACAGCTGTCTGAGGTCTTTTGTCTACCATTCACATCCATGGCTGGTTTACGTAATTAACCAATCAGCTACCCGTTGCCTGCCAAATCTCACTCTGCACACCCTCTAGTGCCATGTTATCTGCTATCTCTCTTCTCTGTCCCAACCCGCAAACTGTTTGAACAAAACAGCAGTGTAAATACCATACATGATGAATTTTAGTAATTTGTCTTCAAAAGTGCAACAATGTTTTCCATAGTATGTGACTTTTGAAATAGTCCACTTTTAAAAATTTTTGTCCTCAATCAAAAATACAGAAAATACAATGTATTGTCTTGACAGATTGGAGAAGTAATATTTCAGTTTTACAAAGTCCTGGTTAGGCCACACTTGGAGTTACTGGGAGTGATTCTAAGCACTTCACCTTTGGAAATATGTATTGGCCTATATCCCTTGGGAGTAGGTTTAACAAAATGGTACCTGGATTCCAAGGGGTAAATTGTATAGGGAGGTTACAATCCCTAGGCTATGTACCTTGAAATTTAAAAGATGAAGGGGTTATTGGATTGAAATTTTAAAAATTAGAGTTGTTACAAAGAAACCATATCCATTGGCCCAGCATGAAGGAACATGGTCTAAAAATTCAAGCCAGACTGCTCAGGAATGGAATTAAGAAACAGCTCTACATACAAAGGATGGTGGAAATTTGAAACTCTCTTCTGAAGATAGTAGTTGATGCCTGATCAGTCACAGTTGAATTTGATAGATTTTTTAATGGACATAAGTATTAGGGATATGGAGCAAAGATTGAATGGAATTAGGTCACAGGTGAGGCATGATCTCAGCGAATGGTGGAACAGACTCAATAGGCTGAATAGTCCCTTCATATTCCTATGTTTACAAACATAATACTCCAGCTGGGGCATAATCATCATATTTAATTCTGGGCTGTACATCTTTTGAGGTTGACGAGGGTGCAGATAGGATTCACTGGAATGGGTCTAGGGATGAATGACTTCAGTTATGTGGAGACACTAAGACCAGAATTACTGTCCTATCACAAAAAATAAGTGAAAGCTGGTTTAACTGAGGTGTACAGAAGGAGAAACTGTTTCCACTGACAGGAGACTCCGTGACCAGAGGTAATTTTAGGTAGTTGCTAAAAGAACCAGAAGGAAGATGAATAGATTTTTTTTCTTACACAGAAAGTTATATAAACCTATGACTTAGTAAGCAGAAATAGGATATTTGGCCCCATGAGTTTGCTCTGCTATTTAGTCGGGCTGCTCTGTTTGAGTTTCAAATTCCAAATTCCAAATTCCCATCCACTCCTGAAAATCTTTGAATCCCCTGTCTAACAAGAATCTATCCAGTTCTGCCTTAAAAATATTCAGTGACTCTGCCTATACCGCCTTCTGAGGCAATGTTCCAAATAGAGAGAACCCTCTGGGTCTGTGCTAGATATTTGAAAGAATTATTAGGAGAACCTAAAGAATAAGAAAAAAAATCAAGAATGGACTAGAAGGCCTTTTGAACCTGCTCCACTATTCAAATGATCAAGGCTGACTTTGGGTTCATCTTCACTTTTTCGTGCCTGCTTTCTATATCCTTTGGTTCCATTAGACCAAAAATCTTTTTATCCCAACAATAGAGACTGAGCAACCAGATGTTCATAAATAATTATAGAATCCCTACAGTGTGGAAATAGGCCCTTCGGCCTAACAACCCTCAGAGTATCCCACCCAGACCCCATCCCCTAATCTACACATCCCTGAACACTACGGGCAATTTAGCATGGCCAATCCACCTCGCCTGCACATCTTTGGACTAAGGGAGGAAACCGGAGCAAAAAGATACACAACACTAAGTGAAGAAATGTCTTATCTCATTACCTTCTCCTGAAATTAGGCTCACGTAGTCAGCTCTTGTCAGCTCTATGTCAACCCTGTCAAATCCCTTCAGAATTTCCTATTTTATTCCAATTCTTATCCTTCTAAACTCCCAAAGAATATGCCTCCAACTTACTCTGTTTCTAATCATAGGATGGCTCTGCTGTCCTGGGGATCAATCTAGCAAACCAGTGATGGTATATCTGGGGCATTGTCTGTAATGCCTGATTTTGAGAGTACGACTGTTAGGTTGTTTTTTTGACTAGTCTTTGGGGCAGCTCTTGATTTTGTCACAAGCCCTCAGAAGTTGGTAAGGAGGACTTTGCTGGGTTAACACAGCTGTGTGTGCGGTACTTGTTTCTGAAACATAGTTTCATGCCAGGTGATTTTTCCAGTTTCATTCCTTCAATTAAACTTTTGTGTAGCAGTTCGATACAACTGGGTGATTTAATGTGTCATTTCAGAGGGCAATCAAAAGTCAAGCACTTTGCTGTGGCTCTGGATTGTGTAGTTACATCCCAGGTCCTCATGTTTCTTCTTGATCCCCTTTAAAATTGCACTACTTCGTTGATCTTGCATTTCCTACCTTCCAAAATGTAGCACACATCTGTATTAAATTTTGTTTGCAAGATGCCTGCCCGTTCTCACCATCCCATCCAGCTTTGTACGAAGTCTGTTCCTGTCCACCCCGATTATAATATTTTTATCTTTTGTACCATCCGCATACTTTGAAATTACATTGTGTGTAAACCTTTCCAGCTCACAAATAAATGTTCTAGAGTTTGTTCAGCAGTGGTGCATATAGTGATATGGTGGAGCTGACTGAACTCGCTAGAGTGGAGAGTGGATGTGAGTCTACCTCTGCCGGTCTTCAACCAGTTGTGTTACTTACAAGAAAATATTTACATTTTACAAAGGATAATGGGTGAAGGGATAATGAGAGGAAAGAGGGGTCTGCAAGGAGTATGTAAAGAGGAGTATTGGGGGAAGGGCTGCCAAAGGGATAGAGGGAGTGAGAATCTGCAAAGGAGACAGATGGTGCTACATGAGGAAATACTCATCTGGAAACAGGAAAACTTGAAATCTGATGAGGTAATGAATTCCTTGCATGTTAATGTGAAATTTCTAGTTTAAAGCTGCATGAGATACTTGGATGCTCTTGTAATGAACAGTGTGTCAATTGTTAGCTTAAATCTTGGATGCATTAGAAAGAATCTTGGAAAGACAAATCATGTTTAACCAACTTATTGAAGTCTTTTGATGTAATATGGTGTGGTTAAAGAGGAATCAGTGTATGTATTGTACTTGGATTTCCAGAAGACTCCCTCCAAGGTGTCACCTGAAAGACCATAAGATATAGGAACAGAATTGGGCCATTTAATAATTTCATGTATTCCTCAACCCCATTCTCCTGACTTTTCTCTGTAACCCTTTGATCCCCTTACTAATCAAGAACCTATCTATCTTTGTCTTAAATACAGTCAATGACTTGGCCTCCACGGTTTTCTGTGGCAATGACTTCCACAGATTCACCATCCTCCTAACTGAAGAAATTTGTCTTCATTCTCCTGTGGCACGGTGGCACAGTGGTTAGCACTGCTGCCTCACAGCGCCAGGGACCCGGGTTCGATTCCACCCTCGGGCGACTGTCTGTGTGGAGTTTGCACGTTCTCCCTGTGTCTGCATGGGTTTCCTCCGGGTGCTCCGGTTTCCTCCCACAGTCCAAAGATGTGCAGGTTAGGTGGATTGGTCGTGCTAAATTGCCCGTAGTGTTCAGGGAGGTGTAGATTAGGGGGATGGGTCTGGGTGGGGTGCTCTGAGGTTCGGTGTGGACTTGTTGGGCCGGAGGGCCTGTTTCCACACTGTAGGGATTCTATGATTCTATGTGGGGAGGTGATGGCCTAGTGGTATTATCACTGGACTGTTAATCTGGGAACCCAGGTTCAAATCCTGCCATGGCAGATGGTGGAAATTGAATTCAATAAATATCTGGAATTAAGAGTTTAATGTTAACGATAACCATAAATCCATTGCTAATTGTCAGGAAAAACCCATCTGGTTCACTAATGTCCTTTAGGGAAGAAAACTGCCATCCTTATCTGGTCTGGCCTACATCTGACTCCAGACCCACAGCAATGTGGTTGATTCTTAACTGCCATCTGGGCAAATAGGGATGGACAATAAATGCTGCCTGGCCAGCAACGTCCTCATCCCATTAATGAATAAAGAAAAAAAAAATTCTCAGTTCATAAGGGTTGTCCACTGTCTTTCCAGACTGCTTAGTGTTCTGTAAGTTTTATTGAGTTCCCCCCCAACCCTCCTTACTTCTAACCTCCATTTGAGTACAAACTTAGCATCCTCAAATGCTCCTCATATGACAAGTTCTTCATTCCTAGGATCATTCTTGTGATCCTTCTCTGAACCTCATCCAAAGCCAACATATCCTGCCTTGGATATGGGACCAAATGTTACTCACAATATTCCAAATGCAATCTGACTAAAACTTTATACAGCCTCAGCAGTACAACCCTGATCTTGTATTCTGGTGCGTTCATACTGAAGGCTAACATTGCGTGTGCCTTCCCAACTGGCAACTGAACCTGCATGTTAAACTTGAGAAGCCTGAATTAAGACCCCCAAGTCCCTTTTTGCATCAGATTTCTGAAGCCTTTCCCTGTTTAGAAAATAGTCTCTGCCTGTAATTTTCCTACCAAAGTGCACTTGCACTTTCTACATTTTTCTTTCCATCTGCCACTATTTTGCCCTCTCTCCTAGCTTGTCAAAGTCCTTTCTGCTTCCTCAACACTACTTGTCTCTCCTTTGTGTCATTTGCAAACTTAGCAACAATGCCCTCAATTTCTTTGTCCAGGTTGTTAATGTATAATGTGAGTAGATGTGGTCCCAATACTGACTCCTGCAGAACTCCATTAATCACAGGCTGTCATCCTGAACAAGACCCCTTTATCTTCACCTGCCAGTCAGCCAATCCTCTATCCATGTAAGTATCTTGCCCCTAACATCATGGGCTAATACCTTTATGCAGCAGCCTCCTGTGTGGCACCTTATCAAAGGCCTTTTGGAAATCCAAATAGATCATGTCCACTGGCTACACTTTGAGGTGAGTAATGAACAAGTTTGACAAAGAATTCTAACAGATTTGTCTAGCATGACCTCCCCTTGACAAAGCTGTACTGACTCAGCTCTATTTTACCATGCGTCCCCCAAGTGCTGTACAGTCTCACCCTTAATGATGAACTGTTAAAAATCTTACTAGTGATCGTGGTCAGTCTAACTAGCTTATATATTTCCTGTCTTCTGCCTTCTTCCCTTGTTAAACAACGGTGTTACAAATGTTATTGCAAAACAAAATGTAGGGCATAACATATTGGCATGAGTAGAAGATTGGCTAGTTAACAGGGAAGAGAGAGTAGGAGTAGGCACAATAAATGAGTCATTTTTCTGACTGGCAAAATATAAAATCTGGCCTGTCGTAGGGCTCAACTTTTGGAAATTTATATAAATGATTTGGATGAATGGATGTAAGGTGTGGCAGCTAGATTTAGTGATGACACGTAGGTATGAAAGTAAGTTGTGAAGAGGCCATTAGCAGCTGCAAAGGGATATAGATGAATTGAGTGAGCAAAGATTGTACAAATGCAGTATAGTATAGAAAGGTGTGAAATTGTCCATTTTGGCAGGAAGAATAAAAAAGAAGCATATATCTAAATGATTTGAGATTGCATAGCTCTGAGAAACAAGGGATTACGGTGTCTTCATTTAGGTTAGCATGCAGGTACAACAAGTAATTGGGAAAGCTAATAGAATGTTATTCAATTCCCCTTGCGATAAATAATATGAAAGTAGGGAGGTTATATTTGAGTTACAGTAGTGATGAGACAACACCCGGAGTATTGTGTACAGTGTTGGCCACCTTTATTTAAGAAAATATGCATATGCATATGCAGATGTATTGGATGCAGTTTAGAGAAGGTTTACCCAGAATAATACCTGGAATTAATATTTTGCACCAGTTTTCAGTGGAGGACACTACTATCATTCCATTAGTAACACATGATGCAGAGGTTATAGAGACGGAGAAATTTAGAACAATCATCATCACTAGAGAAAAAGTACTGAGCAAACTATTGGGATTGAAGGCAGACAATTTCCCAGGACCTGATGGCTTATATCATAGGACCTTAGAGGAAGTGGTAACAGAGATTGTGGATCCAGTGGTTATAATATTTTGAAAATTCCTGGATTGTGTGACAAATTCTAATGGATTGGAAAAATGCTAATTTTCGTAATGGAGGCAAAGTAGGAAACTATATAGATCAGTTAGTTTAACAAATTGGGAAATTGTTAGAATCCATTATTAAGGAAGTAATAACAGAACATTTTGGAAAGTCGAAACACAATCCATCAGAGTTGGTATGATTTTATGAAGGATAAATTGTGTTTGACTCATTTTGAAGTTCTTTGAAGATGTAACAAGCAATGTGATAATAGGGGTCCTGTCGATGTAATATACCTGGACTTCCAGAATGCATTTGATAAGGTGCTGCATGAAGGGGTAGTACATAAAGGTAAGATTACATGGAGTTGGGGGTTATTTGTTAGCTTGGATAGAGAAAGCAGTGAATCAGGATATATGGATCTTTTTCTGATTGGCAAAATGTAACTAGTCGGGTACCACAGGGTTTGGTACTTGGGCCCTAACTATTTACAAGCTGTATTAATGACTTGGATGCAGGGATAGAAAGAACAATAACCAAATTTGCAGATGGCACTAAAAGAAGTGGGAAAGTAAGTTGCAAGGAAGGAATTAAATTTACAAATGCATATGGTTAGGTTAGGTGAATTGGCCAAAATTTAACATTTAACATGGATATGAGGATATTCATTTTGGACAAAGGAATAGAAAGGCAACTTATTATTTAAATGGAGAGAAACTTCAGAGTGCTTAAGTGCTGAGGGTGTCCTTGTGTATGAATTGCAGAAAACTAATATGCAGGTACAGCAGGTAATAAGGAAAGCAGGTGGAATTTTGGTATTTGTTGCTAAAGGATTAGAATATAATAGTAGGGAGGTGTTGCTGCAACTATACAAGGCATTGGTGAGACTGCACCTGGAGTATTGGATACGATTTTAATCCCCTTACTTGCATTCCAGGCAGTTCTGATGAGGTTCATTAGATTACTATGAGAGGTGAAGGTATGATGAGAAATTGAGCACTTTAGAAGAGTGAGAGGAGACCTACTTTAGGTGTTTAACATGCTAAAGGGTTTTGACAAAGTAGACATAGCGAGGATGATTTCTTGTATGAGGCAACCTAGAAAAAGAGGTCATGGTTTTAGGATAAAAGTAGCAAATTTAAAACAGATGAGAAATTACTTCTCTCAAAGGATCATAAATCTGGAATTTACTATCCCAAGTGTGGTGGATGCCAGGGCATTAAGTAAATTTAAGGACAAAATGGGCAGATTTTTAGATAGTAATGAGTTGAAGGATGATGGGGATTGGGCAGGAAATGGGGTTGAGACAGAGGTAAATCAACTATGGCAGAGCAGGCTCGAGGGGCTGAATTGCCTCGTACTCCTAGTTATTTCGTTAATGGCTGGATTATCTTACTGGAAAGGTTAGACAGGCTAGACTTGTTTGACAGGTGTTTAGAGTAGGAGGTAACTTAATTGAAACACATATATGATATTGTGCATGTGGAAAGGACATTTCCTGTTGTGGAGAATCTGGAACTAGGGGTCACAGTTTAAAAATAAAAGGGTCACCCATTTAAGACAGATGAGGGGAAAGTTTCTCTTGTTGAGGGTCATGAGTCTCTGGAACTCTTCCTGAAATGCCAGTAGAAGCAGCATCAGGATATTTTTAAGGTAGAGGAGGCAAGAGTCTTCAAAAGCAAGGGAGTGAAAAGTTGCAAAAAAAATTATTTTGAGCCCTGCATCCATCAGATGTAAAGATTGCATTTTCACTTTTTCTTTGTGTAGGCAACTGGTCACCTGAAGATTGGGACACACACAGGACCTCTCCAGCATGGGATTGTGTACTCGGGTGGTAAGTACATCAGCTTTCTCTAGTTTTCTCTTTATTATCTATTGACTCACCTTGTTATGCCTGCAGTCAGGAGAGAGTGTTCATCAGACCTTACACTTTGGAATCCTGTGTTCTGCCAGTATAGGAACAATATCAGAGTTTGGTGACCATTTCAAATAAGTTTTTATTTCCCTGTCTTCCAAACCAGGGTGCTGAGCTCCAAAGTTTGCCCAAGCTGAGATCAACTGACTTAGCACCCATTAGTGTGTGGACTCGAGTAAGGAATCTTCACCTGGAGGAGAACTAGTCCTGAGGCGAGGTGGGAACTCTTATCCTGATCAAGAGTGGGAATGATGGTGGTAGATAGATCCAGGGTTACGTGGGGGGGGAGGGGGGCAGATGGCAGTTAGGGGAGCAGGAGGGATGTTGAGGTTGAGGCTGAAGCTGTCATGGGTGTGGGGGCAGTTATTGTGTCCAGGCACGCCCTCCCTAGCCTCCCCTTTGCCTCTGGTTTGTGGTAATGTTCCTATGGATCCTAAAGGTCAGAGGTGAAAAAGAGGTCACATAATTTTTGCTGCATGTTTTTCAGGTTCCTCAGATATTATGGGCGACCTGCTGGGGACGAAAGGCAAAGACATTTTGTATATCGGTGATCACATCTTTGGTGATATTTTGAAATCGAAGAAGCGACAGGGCTGGAGAACATTCCTGGTCATCCCAGAACTAGCACAAGAGCTACATGTCTGGACTGACAAAAGCAGTAAGAGTATAGTGCTGACTGATATGCATTAACTGTTGTTTACAACTTTTCAGGTGTTTCCTCAGAGCCAGATTCCACAAAGGTCTCACTAAGTCTAGTATCTGTTCCTGCTTCCATTCTTACTCCTCAGCACAGTGTGAAGAAGTGACATAGAATCATAGAGATATACAGCTCAGAAACCAGACCCTTTGGTCCAACTCCTCTGTGCCGACCAGATTTCCTAAACTGATCTCATCCCATTTGCTGGCATTTGGCCCATACCCCTCTTAAACCTTTCTCATTCATGTAGCCATCCAAATGCCTTTTTAATGTTGCAACTGTGTCTGCCTCCTCTACCTCTACCTCTGCTGGCAGCTCGTTCCAAACGTGCACCATCAGCTGCATGGAAAACGTTGCCCCTCAGGTCCCTTTTTAAATCTTTCCTGTCACCTTAAACCTACACCCTCCAGTTTTGGACTTCATTACCCTGGGAAAAAGACCTTCGCTATTCACTGTATCCATTCTACTCGGGGTTTTATAAACTTCTATAAGGTCACCCCTTGGCCTCCAACACTCCAGCAAAAAGAGCCCCAGCCCATTCAGCCTCTCCCTTTGCTCAAACCCTCCAATCCCAGCAACATCCATGTAAATCTTTTTTGTACCCTTTCGGGTTTAACAATATCATTCCTAAAGCAGGGAGACCAGAATTGCATACAATATTCCAAAAGTGGCCTAACCAATGTCCTGTACAGCCGCAACATGACATCCCAACTCCTATACTCCATGTTCTGATCAATGAAGGCAAGCATACCAAATGCCGCCTTCACCACCCTGTCTACCTAAGAGTTCACTTTCGAGGGACTATATACCTGCAGTCTTAGGTCTCTTTATTTGGCGACACCCCCAAGGACCTACCATTATTACTCCTGTCCTAGTTTGCCTAACCAAAATACAACACTTCACACTTATCCAAATTAAACTTCATCTGCCACTCCTTAGCCCATTGGCCCTTCTGATTAAGGTCCCATTGTATTCTGAGAGAACTTTCTTCACTGTCCACTACGCCAACAATTTTAGTGTCATTGCAAACTTACTAACTACACCTCCTATATTCACATCCAAATCGTGTCTATAGATGATGAAAAGCAGTGGACCAGCATACCAATGGTCACAGGCTTCCAGTCTGTAAAACAACCCTCTACCACCACCCTCTGTCTCATACCTTCAAGTCAATTTTGTGTACAATTGGCTAGCTCCCCCGAATCCTATGTGATCTAACTTTGCCAACCAGTCTACCATGCAGAACTTTGTCAAACACCTTGCTTAAGTCTATATACAACGTCTCCGGCTCTGCCCTCATCTATTTTCTTGGTCACGTCCTCAGAAAACTCAATCGATTTTAGTGAGACATGATTTCCCATGCACAAAGCCATGTTAACTATCCTGAATCTGTCCTTGCCTTTCAAAATGCGTGTAAATCCTGTCCCTTGGAATCCGCTCCAACAACTTCCTCACACTGACATCAGGCTGACCAGGTGATAATTCCCTGTCTTTTCCTTGCCACCTTTTAACTAATGACATCATAGTAGCCATCCTCCAGTCTTCAGACTTCTCAACCCATTGCTGTTGATGATACCAATATCTCAGCAAGGGACCTAGCAACCCCTTCACTCGCTTCCCACAAAATTTTGGGATACAAATGATCAGATCCTGGGCATTTATCTACCTTTATGCATTTTAAGACCTCTAGTATGTCGTGTTCTGTAAAATGGACACTTTTCAAGATCTCACCATTTATTTCCGTAGGATCCCTAGCTTCCACGTTTCTGTGCTATGTAACTATTACTCTAAACTCTAGCAATGGCGGGACGTGGTATTAGAGCACTGAACTCCCTCTTCTATCTCACCCATATCAACACTTTGTTTAGCACAGAGCTGGTATCTCACTGGTCATCAGTGTTTACTGACTGTGTTAAGCTCCCTCTGACCAAGATCTGTGTGCTTTCTGTATTAGTGCAGTGACATTGCTTTCTTTTCCAGATTTGTTCGAAGAGTTGCAGAGTCTGGATGTGTTTCTGGCTGAACTTTACAAGTGAGTATCAAGATGATTTTAGAATGGAAAGGCCAGAAAGAGCAATTAAACCAGTCGCCTGAAAATGTATGGTTTTGTAATAAATATGAAAATGAGTAGCACTGCACAGAATGATTGCAGGGCACTTCTTGAGATTAGCTTTAGGGTTTGTATGTTAACTGAATCTTTTTTGTTTGATTCTAGCCTGAAACTCGCTCCTGGCTATCTGTTGTTCTATATACTGATCACTCAAAAACTTTTTGCTGTCTCATTCTGTTTCATGCTATTAGAATTTCCTGATAATTGTTTAATGCTTCCTGTTTAGCAATTGGCTAATTTGACTTTCTTCCATTTCCTCAGGCATCTAGACAGTAGCAGTAACGAGAGGCCTGACATCAGTGCCATTCAGAGAAGGATCAAGGTGAGACCCAGGCTGGACGAACTGCTTTCGTGTGTGACAGGTCTCATTGTAAATGCTTTGAGACTTACACTGTGGGTTCATAAATTCTCAAAGACCTGTTGTATAATATTTCATCCTGTAAATAAGGAGTCTCATGGGAGTGATACAAGCAATAATTGGGACATTGATCTCTGTGTCTCCATCTCATGCTGCCATTGAACTGCTTTCTTCCTTTCTGATTGTTCTATTCTGCCTCATGCTGTAAGCTTTCCCCTTCCTATAGATGTCGCCTAAGCCCTACTTACTAGACTTCTCTTTCATGCTTTCTCATTACCTCCATTCTATTCTTGTTTTCCTCTCACCCTCCACCTATCCTCCTTCCATCACCCCACACCACCCTCCCACTAGTTCTCTATTTCTCCAGCTATCTCAAGTCTCTCCTTATCACCCTAGTTTCCCATCTGGATGAATTTATGCTGTACACACTCTATGGACGTAATGAGCAGAAACTGCACATGATTGGAACTAAATAAAGAGTGTTTGGATATTTCATTACTGTCCCCAGGTGGAGTACCACAAAGCATCCTTTACATTTTTCCCCATATACCTGATGTTCAGTCTCTTTTTTTTCTTCCCCATGCTGTTAGTATTTTGAAGCTCTCTCCATTCAAGATGCTGGTTTGATTCCTGTGCAGTCTGTGCTTCCCTTGTAGCCATCTCCTGTTCAAACATTCAACAAACTTAAACCCTCCTGTTTATGCCAGTTTTGCAATTGGATTTTTTTTTTGAATTGTTGTCTTTGTCTAGTTTAGGTACAGGTCTTATTGTCACTAGTGCTAGCTTTATTGTTTATTTTATTAACTTTTGTCTGTAGGAGTTCACTGCACAAGAGTTTTCCTTATTTTGTCAGTGGTGTTCCCCAGATAGTGAATACTCCCTTCATCCCCACTCTCGCTGAGAGTCTTTGTTCAGGACCCAGTCACTTGCTCAGGCAAATATATTTCCCCTCAGACATGGCAACTTTTTCCTTAGTCAACAATTTCCCCATCATGGTTGACAAGGCCCTCAGCTGTGTCTGACCCATTTCCCACACTTTTGCCTTCACCTCTCCTGTTCCCATCCACAACAACAGGGTTTCCCTGTCCTCACTTTCCACCACACTGCCATTTCCACCGCCTCCACGGGATCCAGCCATCAGATATTCATTGCCCTCCCTTGTCAGCATTCCATAGGGATTGTTTCCTCTGGGATACCCTAATCTGGTCCTCCTCCATTTCGAACACCTCCCCACACCCCCATATGGCACCTTCCCATGCAATTGCAGAAGGTTTATACTTACCCGTTTACCACCTCACTATTCAAGACTCGACACTCACCTTCCAGATGAAGCAGTGAATTACTTGCGCTTCATTCCATCTAGTCTACTGTATTTGCTGCTGACAATGTGGTCTTCTCTATACTGGGGAGACAAAATGCAGACTAGGTTGCCACTTTGTGAAACGCCTCCATTCTGTCTTTGAAAATACCCCAAGCTTCTAGTTGCTTGCCGCTTCAAGACACCAGCATGTTCCCGTGCCAACAAGTTGGAGGAGCAACACTTCATCTTCTGTCTAGGTACCTCATAGCCTTCAGAACTCCAATATTGAATTTAACAATTTCAGAGCATGAACACCTTCCTCCATGTTATTTACCCAGTCCCACACCCCAGTTTCTGTTTTGTATGGATTGCTCCCAATGCAGTCAACTCATTTTCTTCAACTATTTGCACTTAATGTTAGCACCCATATCTCTCCTGGCTTATTAGCAATCCCTTAAATGAGCCTCTCCTTTTTATTCTCTTTCTAGGTACCATCACCATCTATTCAATTCAACCTCCACCATTCCCGCCCCAGCAAAAAAAAAAACCCTGTCATCAGCACACGTACCACTATGTCTGAGCTGCTTTCAGTTCTGCCAAAGAGTCACTGGACGTGAAACATTTACTGTTTTTTTTTCTCTCTCTCTCCATAGATGTTGCTAGGTCTGCTGAGTTTCTCCAGATCTCTAGCAGTTCTTTGTTTTATTTGCTTCTAATAGTGTTATATAATTTATTGTCTTCACAGTTTAACATTTCTAATTATTCATTTTTTAAATGTGACTATTACCAAGAAATATTTAATACTTTAAATGGGACTTTGAAGGAAAGACTAATGTGAGATTGAGAAGTTTGAGACAGACCTTCCAGGTTATGTTTTCACCCGTACTGTGTTCTTCCTGCTTTGTAGAAAGTCACTCACGATATGGATATGTGTTACGGAATGATGGGGAGCCTTTTCCGCAGTGGTTCCCGTCAGACACTCTTTGCCAGTCAGGTGATGCGTTATGCAGATCTGTATGCAGCCTCCTTCATCAATCTTCTGTACTATCCCTTCAGTTACCTCTTCCGTGCTGCCCACGTCTTGGTAAGTATATGAGATCTGACCTGCAGAAGCACAAACCTGTGATAGGCTCACTGTAAGATGCACTTTTTAAAAAAAAAAAAAAAATTGAGTCATTGAGACCTTGGCTAAGCTCACTATCTCAGTTAAGCTGGTAGTGAATGCTGCAACATTGCCCCTACACTGAGAAGAAAGTGAACCATCAGAGTTCCTTTTCCTAAGAATGACCCAGCAGCTTTGGGTTAGGATTGGGTTCCAATTTGATTTTGTTGACAGCCAAATGTGGAGTGTGTGTGCAAAATAGTAAGCTGGGAGAGGTGCTGGTTGGAATGAATTATTGCTGCTAGAAGTTGTAAATTAAGATGCCAAAAACTGACCAACCTTGGTCAGGGGAACCTTACTGCACTGGAAGTTTGATTTGTGGGGGTAAAGAATCCTTTCTGTTCCAACACAGCAGTTACAGGAGCAAATGTTTCTGCTCCACCCCACAAGTGTGCTTCTGCCCCAAGATAGGGCTTCCCATCACTGTCCCAGGACATCAGTCCACTTCACACACCAACCAACTACTGCTAGTTTAATACTGAGTTGTAAGTAATTGTGTGCAGTAGGATCTAGATTTTGATTAAGACTGTTTTTAGGAAGAATCCTAATAGTAAACTGGTAGCTTGACCACATCAGCTTGGTTAGGTTCTGAAACCAAGTCTGATGATGAGCAGGTTGTGTTAGCCAATTTCCTATCATCCTTTACTTCCTCCAGGGTAGAGTTTAGCTTTCTGGCCACTGTTTCAGGTTGTTGCTGAGGTTCTGTATCAGAAACTCAATCCCAAGTGCTGCTGACCAATGCAAATCAGAGATTCTCAGCAAAGATCTCTTGCACTCAATTATCTTTCCCTTCTTCTCCCCTGCTCCCCCCAAATTTATGTGCTGTGCTTTATGCATTCTTCCATTTTTGCCATTGCCTTCACACTGTGCTTGATCTCTTGTATTCTGTTCCCAACTTTCTCTTGTACACTGATTCCTTACTGTTGCACTCTTGTCTGCCTGCTGTTTTCCTCTTGGAGTACATTGTTTCTTCTTTGCTCTGCTCCTGCCCTGTCTTGCTTTGTTTCCCGTTTGTTCTTCAGATGCCTCATGAGTCCACTGTGGAGCACAGCCATGTCGATATCCGTGATGTTGAGTCTCCAATGGCAACTCGCAACCGCTCAACGAGCTCCATGGATATTAAAGAGACTGAGCACAAACGGCACCATCTCACCCGATCAATTAGTGAAATAAAACCCCCCAACCTTTTCCCACAAACTCCACAAGAAATTACACACTGCCATGATGAAGATGATGACGAAGAGGAGGAGGAGGAGGAGGAGGAGGAGGAGGAAGAATAACAAGGAAATGAATCTCCTTAATCCTGCCCCATCCCACAGAAGTGACACGGTTTAAAGTATGTAAAATTGAAGATTAATGACCTGATCAGAATGGAAAGACGATTGTGAAATGTTCAGTGGATTCAAAGGGACAGGGTTTTGTTTTAAACCTGGAAATTTATGAAAAGAGCTAAATACTGAAACTTGTTTTCCAGTTTTCTTTTAAGTAATTTGACAATGTGCAAATGAATTTTAATCGCAAGTCAGAAGTTTGCATTGAATGCAGGAAATGATGGACTTTGAAGACTGAGTTGAATAGATTCACACCTGTGATGATTTCATTGGATGTTTCACTAAAGATGATAGTTGTTTGAAAGGGAATTGCAAAATTGAGCCGGTAATTTCTCTGTTTTTGACTTAGCACAGCCTGAGATTCTGACAACACCAGCAAGTTGTTTCAAACTCCTCTCAAACTGAGCCCGTCATGGATCCGTCCTCTGATTCCTATGTGCTTTATTCTTATAGATTTGGGGCTTTGGTCTCACTATGGAATTTGAGTTTGTGTATGATCAAAGTTGACTAATGTTTACCTTGGTCCAGAGAAGTTGTATGTTTCTGCAGCAATTGGAAAGATCTGAAAAATGGGTCCTCAAAGCTGCTTCCGCCAGACACGACTTGACTGGTGGGGAGTGCTTGTACATCTGGTGAATCTTCTGTGCAAAGCAGCAAACGTTGGGAATCCCACAAATGTGTATTTTTTTTTGTTGGGGGCTGGGTGGCGGGGGTGCAGTGCAATGCGTTGAAATAAGTTATGTGGAATCACTGCACAAGTTGCAGTGTGTAATTTTTATAATTTTCTTGTTCACCTCCCACTTGGACCTTTTGAGGCTCCAAGGAACCAGAGTTCAGTTTTCCTTTTCAGGGTCATTGCGTTCCCACAGTGGCTTGGTTTAGATCCAAATCCAATCAGATGCAGAAATGACAATTTTGGTTAGAGATGATGTGGGAAATTTATAAGCTTTCATTGGGATCATGTAAATGGAGTTTTATTGTGTATAGGCATCTAACCTTTCGTTGTATCTGGCCGAGGAGTATTGGACATAACATTTAGGACAAGCAGCCCGCTTTATTGGTATCCCAGTTACCATCTTAACTGTTTAATCCTTTTCACCACTGATGCACATTGGCAGCAGCATGTACCGTCCTCAAGATGCCCTGGAGCAACTTGCGGGCTGCCAGAAGGACGAGGGAGAGAAAATATACAGGACAGTGACCTGCACAATCTTCTCCATTTGCATGCCATTCATATTTGGAAATATATTTTCATTTCTTTGTCATTGTTGGGTCAAAATCCTGTAACTTTCTGTTTAACACCACTGTGCGAATACTTTAACCAAGCCAACTGCAGTGAATCTTGGTCACCACCACTTGAGGGGAATAAATGCTGGCACCACCTACAATTTCTTGATGATACTCAAAATAATAAAAAAAAAAAAGCTGGTATGAAAGAGTGAACTCTCACCATTTATATTGGGTGTATTCAAAATGCTGCCTTATGTATCTATTGATCTGTTGGTTGTGCAGGACCAGTTTTAACATGTGATACTTTGCCTGAAAGTTTTAAAGGTATTTCACTAGAACAAGGCCATTGGCAGTACCTTACAAGCTGTTGTGCAGTACTGCACATGTGGAACTTAGTGGGAATGTTGATCAGAGCCTGTTAACATTGTTCCCATATTTGACCCTTGTTCTGTGTAACAATTTTATAAATTAACCCCCATCCCAAGTGCAGATGTATTCATGGGACTCTGGTTTGGCTGATGTCAGAGCTGCTGTATGAACTGAAGC